ATTTGTGGGGCCAAGCCTTTGGCTTCAGAGTTTGCATGGTACGTTTCCTTCCTGCGTGTGGGTGAAGGGTTAGCATATACATGTTCTAGCATTAACTCTCTGCTTCTTAAGAAAATGATTTTCTGTTTTTTAATGAATTTCTGTTCATTTTTTCTGTAGTTGGAAAGGGTGCATTAAGGTCCAGATTCTGGTTTCTTTGATAAAACACTTAAGTCCAGAATAACTCATTGGAGTTGCTTTGTTCTGTACGAAAAAATTTCAAAATGAGTGATATGTTCAAGTGAGAAAGAACATTCCCAATTTATTTTTTTACTCCTATATATAAACATCCACTGACATGTGTTCATGCATGCTTACATATATGTATTATACATACATATATATGTGTGTATGTATATACATACCTATATACATACACAATGTATACATGTATGTTTATGCATTTAGATATCTATAAATCAAGGACAGGTGCTGTCTCTCTCCATATATATTTACATACAGGCATATATGTTCACATATATATAGCACATATCATTGATTTAGATTATTTACTAGATATTAGATATGTCTTTTTGAGATATTCTTGATGAGCTTCCTGGAGACTGAGAGGATGCAGGTCGATGAACAGGATCCCCAGCAAGCTGTCTAAGTGAATGTAGTAAAAGCTATTGTACAGGAAGAAAAGTTTTTCTCCTCGCAAACCCACGCCCTGTTTTAACATGATAATTCTTTGTTCAGTTAGACACTGTTTGCTTGCCCTTACATGAAGAGTCAAAGTTCTCCAGTGGCTGGCTCAGGTCATCCTAAGAGGTTTAATAGAAATAGGTTTTAATTGATAATGCCCCACATTTCTTCCTTTCCTTGATAACAGCCCTTTCAGGAGTTGGCTATGTTGTGCTGGTCTTCCCAAAGTTTCTAAACAAATGGAAGTAACTGTTGCCTTTAAAAGGAGAGCATTTCTGTCCATAAAAGCTTCAAGGTTTTCTGTATTTGTCAAGCTTTTCTTGATTTTCTCATCTCTATGAGATGGTGCTTAAAATTAATGTTGTTTTCTGCTTATTCTTTTATTTTATGAGGCCAATATATCTCTGCCAATTTGCTCTTAAGGACAGAATATACTTTCGTGTGATCTAAATCAGACTGAAGATCCTCTGTCTAGTGATTTATATTCACAGGTTTCAGATCTCCAAGGGCAGCTAGCTAACTTAGGGACTCAGCCAGAAATTTGGCCACCTGAAAATGGATAGTATTGTATAACGATGAACGATATTCAAAAAAACTTGAAAGAGGAAATTAGGTAATTATGGCTACATATGAGCACTATGGGCTCTATGAGCACTACAGCACAAAATGCTGGTGGGCAGGGTTCTTTTGAGACTTTCTCAGTGACAGTATATTGAAATTTTATATTCAGGAAAGCCTTCAGATTTGCCTCTGGTATTGCATGCCCTGAGAAGTGTCTTCTTGTCTTCTCCCTGCAGTTTGAGTATGACAAGCCATGTGCTAGTTTGCAGCTAGTCCCACCAAAAGAGAAAAAATAATAAAGCTAAATTTTGGAAATCTGAACTCTGTTGAACATTTTTAAGCATTGTTTCGAGGCTTGGCTTAGATTTAGGTGGGTCTTTTAGGTGCCATTCTGTATCTCTGGAGAGGGTACTCTTCTCTCCTGTAATGGACTGTCGGAGGCAATGGGTAGTCAGCAAACCCTGGTTCAAGCCCTTTTTGTGGGTCAGAGCAATGGAGAGTGACCTTTTCCAGGAACATAGGATATCCGACTATTGAGTATCGCTGTCTTTTGTGCTGAGGCCATTTGACATATTTCACAGGCTGGAGGATGGCTGTTGTGTTGATGACTGGGGGACAAGCTGGTGCTCAGAGGGACACCCAAGGCCCAGTCTCAGGTCTGATTCCAACAGGAAGGGAATCTGACCATGCATCTCCCATGTCCCAGATGGATATCCATGTCATTGGGCTGCAAGACAGGAAGGAGCAGGAAAGCTTTGTTTTGTGAATCTAGTTGTTTGCTTTTATTAGCAACGCTGCAAAACCGAAATGCTGGCTTGAGCAAAATTTTCTTCATTGTTACACAAATTGCTCCAGTTCTTATTTTGCATTAATCAACTTTTCATGACTTGATGGTTCAACCAAGAAAAGAAAAAGACAACAACTCAGTGTTGTATAATAGTCATAGCTTGTTTTAATACTGTACAGCATCTTAGGTAGCACCAAATTCAAGAATTGTCTCTGTGGGTAAAGAAAAACGCTCGTGGGAATAATGACCTGTTTGTTCTTGATTTCATGAATGCTCTCCATAGCCCAAAGACAGACATGCTCTTAGAAAACAAACCCTCTCATATACCTAGTCATTGGCAGTTTAGTGGTGGACTTGGCAGTGATAGGTTAATGGTTGGACTCGATGATCTTAAGGGTCTTTTCCAACCTTAATGATTCTATGATTCTATTGCTGAAGGCAAAAATTAAGAGAAGTCGCTACTCTGTTTCGCATGTTCTCTCTCTGGTCTCCAAGAGTGATGGGGAGAACTAACATCTCTCTACCAGTGAAGGAAGAGGGAATAAATGTAAAAATTAGTGTTGGAGGCTAAAAGACATTCCCCTGTTCCCAGTGTCCCAAGATACTGAAGGCTGTTCTCTCATTTTGGGATGTCAAATCGGCTCCCCAGTAAGAGCCCCAGTAGTTCCGGTGCCCTTTAACTAACCCTGCTGACTTGTTTGGAGCTGCAAATCTCCTATCTCAACCACAGCTGCAGGTCACAGCATAGGTTGTGTGGTTGTAGGCACATATGACCCTTAGTTCTGTTTAGTAATTTTGAAGAGAATGACAGGAGACCTAGTGAGTACCACAATACTCGCTAATTCACTGCTTGCTTTGGGTAAAACTAAAGGTATGTGCAACATAAAATAAACAGGAAAAGATTTTGTAATATTTTGCATTGTATAATCCATTAGAAAGTCCATATATTTGTGCTTTTGCTGTTTATTTTATGTTTCCTGGGAATTTGCAGTATGTTGCCTAGAAGGAAAAGCATCATGTTGGATTGCTGCTGAATTTTCAAGTCCTTTCAGATAGGACATCAGCTTGAAAGAGCACCCAGAATGAAAGAAGTGACATCTGGTTTATTATGGGTGGCTTGCAAACAGTTAACTTAAACTCTGCAATGCCAAAACACATCTTTTTTCTTTAAGGTACTCCTTTAGGATCTTCCTCTCTCTGTCTCTCTTCTCTTTTTTTACTTCCTTCGGTTGGTTAAGAAGGGCTGGACACAACTTCCTCCAGAGCAGATCAGCGGCGCTCTGAGCATCAGCCAGAAGAAAGTAGTTAGGAAACAACACACGACACTCACCCCACATCCCCATGAAAGCAAGAAATGAGTTCTGTCCTGTTCTTTTTCTTTGGATCATTTATTCTGTTGGGATATAGGATCTAATGAGCTGAAGAAGAGTGCCAACATGGAAAGAAAATGCTGGTCATCTTGGGACCAGTTCTGTCCTTCGTTCCACATGGACGATTTCTATCAGTTTAGTGTGTGGCGTAGATCACCAGTGTTCCTGCACAACCACTCCATGCTGGACTGCATAGTGTTGATGATGACGCCTTGCAGAGTAGACCAGATATTAGCTCAGCCTATTCTTGAAAATGCTTCCTTAACTTCCCAAATGACCATTTATAATGCTCTGCTTTACAGTTTTTCTAACTGTCAAAATATAAAGGTTGAGATTCATCTCAAGGGCACACTCTAACTTAGCATCAAATTTCTGCCCGCTCTAAAACAGCTAGTGTTCTCTCTCTCTCTCTCTCTCTCTCTCTCGTTGATTCTCTTTTCCTCTCTCCCTCTTTCTTTCTCTATCCACATCAAAATATTATTGTTTTGCCCACTTGACACTCCCAGCGGGATGCTGCCGAGTACAGAGCATTCTAGCCCTCATTCAGCCAAGCTCTTTTGGCATATGTTTTGTTTTAAGTGTGTTACAGACCAGCCCAGAGCCACTGTATATATTGGGCTTATTCACACTCTTAATGCTTTGTTAGACTGGCACCAGAACATGGAAGAATATTGTGAGGTTTCAATTAATTACAAGTTTCTGTTTGCCTTCCTGCTGTTGGGCTTTCTGTTCCAGTTTACAAACACAATTTTTAGTACCATCAGTCATACCAAGAAATAGTAAGGAGTCCGGTCTGGCTAAAAAGTGTCTGGCTGCCGCAGTTCCCTTCTGAACATGAATTTGCCCAACTTCCCTACGGAAGGGAGGCTCACCTACTCTTCAGCAGCAGATATCCTTCAGTCCTGTTGCCAGGATCCTCCAGAGTGGGTGCTTCGTGTGCTGGGTCTACATACGAGCAGGTGGCAGACTGGAGGAGTGTAGGAGAGCCAGTTATAAAAAAAAAACAAAAAAACCTCTCCAGATTGCATTGTCTGCCTTCCCCCCGCCACTTTGCCGAGGGAAACACTGTCAGCATCAAAGTGAAGTACTCATTCCTCCTTCTCCCCTCCCACCCTTTTGCTGAGGCAAGAACTCTTTCCTCCTACACCAACCAGCAGTCTGTGTGTTACGTTGTGGTTTTCTTAAAGGAGGGAGCAAACTATGATGTCCTGTGTGGTCATTCAGCTCATCTGACTTTAGGTACCTTGCACAGCTGATGGAGAATACAGGGCACCTCCAGAAGATGATTCACCCACCTAAAATCTTGATTATCTTCTAAAAATGCCCATCCTTCCACTGACGTTAGAAGGAGCTCGAGAAGTCTGCGCTCCTCGCTTGGGCACCCCTGTAAAGTGCCCGAGAGTTAGGCAGGATAAATATGGGCCAGATTGCAAGAGGAGACTCTTGGATATGCCGAGTTGCAATCTTGCTGTGTAACAGCGTGCACGAGACGAGCAGAAAGCTGCAGGCAACTGAGCCTTGTGTTTATTTGAGTTATAGAAGGGGAAGAGGATTGTGAAGGGGGAAGAGAAAATCAGATAACTATATTGAAACCGAGACAATCAAAAGGCCTATTTTAAGTCTGCAGCGGACATCTGTTGCATTTCTGATTGGACTGGCACCTCAGAATGAATTAAGGCTAAAACTGAGCCACCCTGACACAGAGCACAGAGCTCAAGGGTCTCTGAGATACTCAAGGTCTTTGAAATACTTGTGCTCTTGGAGAGATGTTTCTCATAAAGGTAGCACTCCGTCTGCCTAGCCCTGGCATAACCTACCCCGTGTCAGAGA